CCTGTAGCCCGTAGGGTATGGTAGGAGGATACACCGCTGTAGTAAGCAGGTGATAGTTTTTAGTTCGGCTACGTCCAGGGAAGTGTGCAGAAGTGTGAGCGATTGCAAGTTGGTAGTTGAGTAGAGAGGCAGAGATACTGGGGGGATTAAGGGTTTGGGGTAGGGATCTAGGTCAGCAATGCTGAGTCGGGTATAGGGACAATGGGAGGGGGGACAAGGAGGGGGGATAGAAAGGGGAGGAAAGGAAGAAGAAAAGGGAGACAAAGAGGATCATGAAGGCACAAGAGGGTGGAGTGGGCTCTCATTGAGGGCCTCCCCGGGGTTCCCACCACACCCCGCCGCCTCCAGGGATGACTATTTAATTGGGAAGTAGAACTTCATACAACCAGGGTTCCCATATTTTAGTGAAGTGTTTAGTGGTATCGTGAACAAGAGTAGAGAGTTTGTCCATTTTCATGGCGTTGTTTATTTTGCCTTTTATCAAGTCAAGAGAAGGGACGTATGGACTACCCCATTTCTCTGCAATTGCCCTTCTTGTAGCTAGTGCTAGTTTAGCGACTAGTTTGTTTTTGGCACATGGAGTGCTTTTGAGGGGTCTAGAGAGGAGCCACAGCTATGGGTCCATCGGAATATCTGGGATGTGAGCTGCACTACCTGTTGCCACCATGTCGCTATCTCAGTGCATTTCCACCGGGGTAATTAGTGGGGTAATGCTGACTCATTTGTAGGTGGGATCACTGATAAAGCACCGAAATGTATCGAAAGAAGTGGTGGGTTGTGAATGTGGTGTGTTGAGGGAGGTCCGTGAAAGGTATTGTCACATCCTGTTCCTAGCTGCAGATCTTTCTGGCAATGGCTTCTGGTATCCAGTACTCTGTTTACTATTCTTGTTTAGTTTTTCTTGTTTTTTTGGTTTTCTATTCTAGGTCTGGTTTTATTTATGCTGGGTTTTTCTTGGGTCATTCCTGTAATCTGTCCCTGGAATTCCCAGTCTCCTGGTTTCCTTTGAATGTTTGTTTTATGTTGCCACACCTGTTTGTTTTCCATCATTCCTTTTGTTTCAGTGTCCTGCAGGCAGCTGCTCAAGTCTTCTGCCCTTTCTTGCAGGTAAGTACTATGTGTGTTTTCTTTGGTTGGTTTAGCTTGCATTAGGCAGAGTAGGACCAGATGTGGGGTACATTGGCGTTGTTGGCAGGCTTATGCAATGTATGATCATGTAATGTGACTAAATGCCCATGATTTTCATATATAATGCTTAGTTATTTCTCCTCTTGTTTTGCCTATCTCTTGTCTTTCATTGTTTCTGTACTGGATACATTCGTGCTGCAGAGCCTCCCTATTCAGCTCCTGGGAGGTCTGCTTATTTCCTAGCTCCTAGTTCCTGGGATCCGCATAAGCTGCATCAGGATTCTGGTATGTGGCTGCAGAAACGCTGGTGCTCAACACCAGGGGGCGTGCGGTTACCCTGCACCAGACCCTGCTACTCCACCTCCACACTGTGACTCCTACTCTGAACATCAGGCATACTGGGTCCCGGTCCTCGCACCGCCACCCGGACTGTGTCTGGGTCCCGGGCACTGGACCACCACCCTTACAGGTATGAGCTGTTGATTGATATAGTATTGATATATTCCGGTTAAGTCATTATCCTGAAAGTGTACAAAGTCTCTCAGGAACATGAGAATTGTGTTTTACGGAGGATGGGTGTAATTGGGGAAGGGTGTGACACCAAGTGACATTTTACCATTACCTTATCCCATATCTTTATCGATGTGAGGAGCACTGAGGAGGTGGAGGGGAGGGGGATCTAGCTTGTTTTGGGAGCCAGATATAGAACCCGAGCCTGTCCCCTAAAAGGCTCTTATCCATGTGAGCTGATATACTTCTGTTTACAAATATTTTAGACCTTTATAAAGATGACACTCCCACCACCATGCTTGACTGTAGGCAAGACACACTTGTCTATGTACTCCTCAACTGGTTGCTGCCACACATACTTGACACCATCTGAACCAAATAAGTTTATCTTGGTAAGTTTATTTTGGTCTCATCGGACCACAGGACATGGTTCCAGTAATTCATGTCCTTAGTCTGTTTTTCTTCAGCAAACTGTTTGCGGGCTTTCTTGTGCAACTTCTTTAGAAGAGTCTTCCTTCTGGGATGACAGCCATGCAGATCAATTTGATGCAGTGTGCGACGTATGGTCTGAGCACTGAAAGGCTGACCCCTTCAACCTCTGCAGCAATGCTGGCAGCACTCATACGTCTATTTCCCAAAGACAACCTCTGAATATGATGCTGAGCACTTGCACTCAACTTCTTTGGTCGATCAATAAGAGAATCTGGAGCACATACCAGATTCTCTTATTCTTTTTAGTTATACACGATTTGTTTGCTCTCAATTTTGATCACTTATTTTATATGATTCACTGTATTCACAAACATTCCACTTAGTATTCTGCTTTGTTTCTCTCCCCCTTTCTATATTATTTCCTTTATTGGACACGTATAAGCCCTTGATTATACATATACTTGTTCCTCGATGTACTTCTGGTGGTGGTTCACATATGCCTTTGTATTACCTAGTTACCATGGTGATCTCAGATGGCAATGTGTCTCTGTATCACTAAGCAATTATGCCATATGCACGTAAGACACACGTCACATTGAATCACTTCCGGGTGTAATCAGTCGGTGGGCTGTCATAGCACTCATTGGGTAAGATTGTTGGGGTACGTTTTCATATAAATTCATGCTTTTGTCACTTGCACTGTGATCTTGAAAAAGACCCGAAGTGGGTCTAAACGTTGATTTGTTTATGCACCGCAACTATGGATTTTTAAACTTTTGAATCACTAAAGTTCATTTTTTAAAGACCTATGAGAGTAGCGTTGTTCTTTTTCATTATATTATATACGTAGCGATATTTATATATATATATATATATATATATATATATATATATATATATATATAGGAAAGAAGATGAGTGCACGCTGGAGACTGTAGTAGTAAAGTAGAAATGCTTTTATTTAGCATAAATTAACATCACCGTTTCAGTCCTCCTGGACTTTTCTCAAGACAAGTGCTAAGTGCCAGATAACGGTTATAAATACACAAACTGTGAGATTATTGGAGGGTGAACAGGTGAGAGCAAGACTGGTGATGTCAGAGATGACATCATCATACCAAATTTAACCATGTGAGTGAAGGTTAGAAAAAATAAACAAAGGAACAATAAGTTCTAGAGCGTATGATAAGTGGAGACTAAATAAAAAGAAGACTGGATCGACAGAAAGAAGTGGGGTAATAGTTATGTGAAAACAGAAATTATCAAAGAGCATAATTCATTAATAGTTCCAGTCATAAAAAGAAGGAGGAATCTCACATTAACAGGCATAATTAATTGCAATGTAGATTATATGAGTATTGCATAAAAATGTTATGGTATGTTATGTAGCAAACAATATAGCAATACAAATGAAACACATGGAGATAAATTGCCACAAGAGATACATAAGAACAGTGGGCAAGCTGAGGTTCATGGGGAAATTAGTTCTAATCAATTAGCGTCTGGGAAGGAAACAATATAAAGGATTTTTCTCATTCAGTCAGTGAGTGGCTAGTGTCCCCAAGGTATAAATCCAGTATGCCTCCCTTCTCAAAAGTTGTGCATCTCTGTCACCACCTCTAGTGGATAGTGGGACATGGTCAATGCCCATGAAGCATAACATTGGTAAATAGTGTCCGGCTTCCAAGAAATGTCGTGCCACTGGAGTGTTGGCAGAATAGCGTGTTCAGGGCGATACGCTGAGCGATGACTTCTTAGGTCATTCTTTCTCTTAGGTCATTAGAGGTTTTCCCGATATATACAAAGCTACATGGGCATGTGATGCGGTATACTACATGTGTAGTGTTGCAACTGATGCAATGTCTGATGTTAAAAGTTTTTCCCGAGTGCGGGTGGCAGAAAGTCTTTCCAGTAATCATCGAGTTACATGCTGTGCAACTCAGGCACCGATAACACGATAGGACTTTTTTCTTGTAGTATAAGGTTATGTTGGTCAATATGTACCAGCATATCCCGTAAGTTTCCTCCTCTCCTGTAACTCATGATGGGATTATTATGAAAAATGGGTGGTAATGAAGGGTCTTTTCTAAGCATATCCCAATTCCCTTGTATTGTGGATGTTATTTGATGGGAATGAGTGTGGTATGATACAGGGATGACTAGTCAATTATCGATTCAGTTTGATGGACGTTCATCTGCAATCGTTTGTTGTGCGTGCTGGAGCATTTGTCTCAAAACTTTTTTTAGAGTAACCTCTTTGCAAGAATTTGGTAAACATCTTTTGTGTTTGTAGAAACATAGAATGTGACGGCAGATAAGAACCATTCGGCCCATCTAGTCTGCCCAATTTTCTAAATACTTTCATTAGTCCCTAGCCTTATCTTATAGTTAGGATAGCCTTATGCCTATCCCACGCATGCTTAAACTCCTTTACTGTGTTAACCTCTACCACTTCAGCTGGAAGGCTATTCCATGCATCCACTACCCTCTCAGTAAAGTAATACTTCCTGATATTATTTTTAAACCTTTGTCCCTCTAATTTAAGACTATGTCCTCTTGTTGTGGTAGTTTTTCTTCTTTTAAATATAGTCTCCTCCTTTAGAGTGTTCTGAATTGTTGCGGAGAACTCTGACAAACTGAGAGATGGGTAAAAACTCCATAAGCTTCTTGGGTGGAAGTTCAAGGCATGTAGAATAGAATTTCTGTCGGTGGACTTAGAATAGAGTGTGTAGCCCAAACAGTTGCCTGTGACAAATATTTCAAGATCAAGAAATTCGATACTGATGGTACTGTACTTGGATGTGAGTTTCACTGTTACATATTCAAATTTGTATCATAGATAGTGATGTCCCGAACGGTTCGCCGAACGATTCACGAACGGTTCGCCACGGACTCATCATTGAGTAAACTTTGACCCTGTACCTCACAGTCAGCAGACACATTCCAGCCAATCAGCAGCAGACCCTCCCTCCCAGACCCTCCCTCCTCCTGGACAGCTCACTAAGAATGCAGCTTCAAAATGGATGCTGTCCAGGAGTGGGAGGGTCTGGGAGGGTCTGCTGCTGATTGGCTGGAATGTGTCTGATGACGGTGAGGTACAGGGTTAAAGTTTACTCAATGATGAGTCCATGGCGAACCGTTCGCGAACCGTTCGCGAACCGTTCGGCGAACCGTTCGGGGCATCACTAATCATAGAGCATAGTTCATCCTCACTACCAGTCCAAATGAGGAGGATATCAGCTTGCTCACTGTATCTCATGTATCTCTTGTAGCAATGTATCTCCATGTGTTTCATTTTTATTGCTATATTGTTTGCTACATAACATAACATTCTTATGCAATACTCGTATAATCTCCATTGCAATTAATTATGCTTGTTAATGTGAGATTCTTCCTTCTTTTTATGACTGGAACTATCACTAAATTATGCTCTTTGATCATTTCTGTTCTCACATAAGTGTTACCCACTTCTTCGTGTCGATCCAGTCTTCTTTTTATTTGGTCTCCATTTATCATACGCTCTAGAACTTATGGTTTCATTGTATATTTTTTCTTACCTTCATTCACATGGTTAAATTTGGTATGATGATGTCATCTCTAACATCACCAGTGTTGCTCTCACCTGTTCACCCTCCAATCATCTCACAGCTTGTGTATATATAAACGTTATCTGGCACTTAGCACTTGTCTTGAAAAAAGTCCAGGAGGACTGAAACGTTGATGTTTATTTATGCTAAATAAAAGCATTTCTACTTTACTACTACAGTCTCCAGAGTGCACTCATCTTCTTTCCTATACTATGGCTGGAGTTGGCACCGGAGCATCATTATATATATTTACTGATCACCTAGAGAGCATGTTAGTGCTTAAAGGGATTCTCCAGTGCCAGGAAAACATATTGGTTTTCCTGGCACTGCAGGACCCTCTCGTGCCCCTCTCTCTCCCACCCCCCATCCCAAGTTGCTGAAGGGGTTAAAACCCCTTCAGTGACTTACCGGAGTCCAGCGCCGATGTCCCCTGGCAGCCGGCGGGGGAGACCTAATGCGCATGCGCGGTAATGGCCGCGCTCGCACTTTACACCTCCCTATTGGAAAGCATTATACAATTCTAAGAACACGGAAGTGTTCTCTAATTGCTGTCTAGTAGACAGCCACTAGAGGAGGTCTTAACCCTGCAATGTAAATATTGCAGTTTATGAAAACTGCAATAGTTACACTTGCAGGGTTAAGGGTAGTGGGAGTTGGCACCCAGACCAATCCAATGGGCAGAAGTGGTCTGGGTGCCTGGAGTATCCCTTTAATTAGTAGGTAAAGCACTGCTCCTATTACTCCTGAGGTCTGTGTTAAAACACACATAGATGAAACAGCTATTGTTCATGTTCCAGTACCTATTTGAAGTGATTTTCTTACATGGTTTGGAAGTCTTTAGGTACCTGGATCTCCTCTATTTATGGATGTGTGGAATCTCATTAACTTCGGTTTATTACTTGCCATTTCCTTGCAAAGTAGATAATACTGATTACAAACACTGATTCAATATTCTATTCTTTTTATAAAGCACTTTAAGATCTTCTGGGAAAAGACACTTTATAGAGGCATTAAAATAAATATTACATATCTGAAGTGACTATATGTTGAATAAATAAACCATCCTGCTATGTTTCATTTCTTCTCCATGGATAAATACTTTAATGTATCCGATACTTAGAAAGACATTATCTAAAATGTGCTGCTATATATGCAATATTTATGAAATATCTATTGTGGGACCCTATAATATGCAGTACATCACAAAAATTTATATTCTTAAATAACCACTTGGGGTCCAGAAAGATATAACTTCTGTATATCATGAAATTATATAAACATCAAACTCTATTCCTATCAATATGCATGTTTATTAGTTGTAAATACAAAGGATAGTTGGGTGGGATATTTATTTAACCCCATTCCTGACCAAAGATGGAAATTTTCCATCAAGCTTGTCCTTGTGTTAAGGACCCTTGATGAAAACTTTCCTTCATTTACTAAAGTTAACCCCAGATCGCAGCGATTGCGGGGTTAACGCTCATTAGGTCTGCCTTTGGTATTCGAGGCAGGCCGGGAGCACCCGATCTCGCTGTCCCTGCAGCAGTGATCCGTCTGACAGACTGTCAGAGCGAGCACATGAGCTGCAGGGACTCACCCTCACGAACTGCCTCCTTGCTCTTTCACATCCAGTGTGGAGTGCAGGGAAATGGATCACTGCTGATCTTCTTCCTGTGTAAAAAGATTTGCAAATTAATGTAAAATCCCACCCCTCCTTTCCCTTGCTTTAATAAAATTAACCCCATTCTATGCCAATTGATCACTGACAATAGTGATCAATTGACAGGGATTACATTTTACTGTCATCTGATTTTTATTTTATTTTTTAACCCCTGAGGGTTAATTTTTTTTTTCTTAATCCTCAGTGGTTAAATTTATTTTATTAACTAATTCTCATATTTTAAAATTATATATTTAGCTAGCTGGGGACTTGGGGAATTTGGTGTGAGGCTAGCTAGGGGTTAACGTTAAAAAAAGTTTTAAAAATAGCTTTAAAAAGTAAAAAAAAATCCCACCCCCTTTACCCAGTCCAAATAAAAATTAACCCCTGCCAGTTGATCTCTGCCTAGAGTGTTAAAAATACAGATCACAGTATTATATTGTGATTTAATTTTTTTTAACCCCTGAGGATGAATTTTTATTTATTTTTGAACCCTCAGGAATTTAATTTATTTAATTAATTTAAATATTTTAAAATTATATATTTTGCTAGTTGGGATGCGTGGGAGTTATGGGAAAGTGGGGAGTTTAAAAAAATTTAATATGTAAAAAAAAAATCTTTAAAAACGAGTTTTAAAAAGTAAAAAAAAATACATAAAAAAAACTCATTACCACTACACCTGGAACATACTAGAGAAAAAATGATCCCACGTTAAGGTTCAAAATGTGCCTTTTGAATTACCCCCTGGTGTATTCTTTAATAAATAGTATGTGTTTGTGGGGAAGTTTGAATAACCAGCCAGCTAAACTACTCCAAAATGGAACATAGACACAGCGTAAAACTTCAAAGTTAGAAAAAAAAAAAATGAAAGGCTGCGTCTTAAATGTGCCCCTTCAACATCCACATATACCTGGCAAAGGTACATAAGGGGGTATTGCTGTACTCAGACAACATAGCTGAGCAACATATGAAGTATTATACAGTTGTAGCACACATAAGGTTTGAAATACATAATGTGCAAACTTACTTTGTGTGTCAAAAAGGCATAAAAAATGCTTATTACTACTACACTTGGTACAAGCTAGCGGAAAAATTATCCCACGCTAAGGTTCAGAATATGCCTTTTGAAAAACCCTGGGATGTCTTCTTTAAAAAAATGGAATGCCTTCATGGTGTAGTTGGAATATGTAGCCTGCTGAAGTGCTCCAAAGTGGGACACGGACGCATCAAAACCCTCTATGAAAATTCACATTTAAAAACCTGAACTTGTCATGTCTCTTTTACAGCACTGTAACTGCACAAAATAGTGTCTACATACATTGGGCATATTGTTTTACTCAGAAGATGTAACTGAGCATAATTTGGGGATTTTTATGACAGTGGTACATATCAAGTGTAAGAAATACTCAGCAAAAATGCAACATATATGTAAAAATGTCATTTATTTCCCTCTCAAAAACAAATGTGAATACCGCACTCAAAACAATTCCAGTAAAGTCTAATCTTATATTTAATTGCAAAAGCTATTTATTATAATATTAATTCATAAGTTCATAGAGTCAATCATAGTAGAATACATTTCAATCCTATATACATAAGATATTTCCATATATACACAGCAGATCCTCCCTATGTTAAATTACATGAGTAATGTATCTGTTTACAATGGTTAATGATCCAAAGAATGAATGTAGAAGATGATCCCAAAGAATTCAAAAAAATAATAATAAAAAACTGTAAAAAATAAAAAATGAAAAGAGAAAAAAGAAAAAAGAAAAAAGTGAAAAAAAGAAAAAAAGAAAAAATTAGAAAAAATTAGAAAAAATTAATTATCATACAGTCCTGTTGTCTAATAGTCCAAAATATAGTGCACTATATGCTTCATAAGTCTATGGATAGATCTCACCAATGTAGAAGATAACTTTAAGGTATGCTCAGTAGGAGGATGATGTAGTCTGTAGATGGTGTATAATGGATGAGGGTGAAACTGCTTGTAGTTTGGTGGAAAGACAATCAATCATTTAGCAGGATCTGGTCAGTATGACAGGTCATTCAATGATCCATGGAAGTAGGCAATCCTGGAAACGGGTTGAAATGGGCTGCGCGCTCGGGACGTTCCTGTCCCTTTGATGGCCCCTGTTCCTCTCCGCTCTGTCAAGGTATAAGCATATCAGTTTAAATATCCTAACTGGGCGGCAAATTCCGCCGCGACCACTCCGTGGACTTACTTCCGCCTTCTGACGTCAGCGTGCGTCGCTGCGTCATACGTATTCAACTTAACTTTATTGTTCACAAACATATTGCATATTGACACAAATAGGGGAAACTTACGAAATATAGATACAGAATGAAGCCTTAATGAAAGTGTGTAGTACAAGGTACTACAGGGATAATGAGTGTTTATATCCACATTAGAAGAAACCTAAAGAGTGGTCATAACACATATAAAAATACCATAATGTTCAAAAAAATTAATGTAATAACATATAGTAAGCTAAGCAAAAATCAATTAATACACAATAATCTAAAGAGTAATAAACCAGAAAATGTTGGTGGACATGAAATACAAAGAATTGTTAGATATTTATCCATTAGTCTATCTGACTGCTGCATAGTTCTTATAGAGCTCACCTGTAACAGATGATCAAGAGAAAAATATCTGTAGATATAAACCAGTAAAGTAACCAGCTATATATAAAAAAGAAAAAAGGAGAAATCAATTGTCTATATGTCGTACCATCAAAGAAAAAATAGAACAAACATTTTTCAAAAAACTAATAAGAATAATGAGAAGAAAAAAAGGTTAAAAAACGAAAGAATGAAAAAAAGGAAAAAGGGAAAAAATATTTTAAAAAATCAGAAAAAAAAAGAAAAAGAAAAAAATCAAGAAAAATGCAACTCACCTGTCTCGTGATGCCCCACCGTGCCCCCGGGTCCCATGTGTGGGGAACCCTGTACTGATGGCAGGTAGCGGACCCAATGAGGTCAAAATGTTGGCAGGAAAGAGCACTGGACCAAACCTGGTCAAGGGGAGCCTCTGTAGGGAGCACAAAGTCATAGAGCAGACAATGAATACAAGAAAAAAAGGAGAAGAGAAAAGGTTTGTCATAAAAAATGTTTAAGGTCATAGTCTTCATTAAGTCCTAATGGTGACAAAGTCTCCAAGGTACTTATCCATTTTGTTTCTCTCTGCAATAAGAGCTTCTGTCTATCTCCTCCTCTACGTAGAGGTGGAATTCTGTCCAAGACTTGAAACCTTAATTGGTTTACATTATGACCATGTGTTTTAAAATGTCTGGGTACCGGAGCCTCCACTTTATTGTGCTGTAATGCTGCCCGAATGCTCCTTTTATGCTCCCCTATCCGCTCTTTCACTGGCCTGATGGTCTCCCCCACGTACAGGAGTCCACAGGGACACTTAAGAGCATACACAACAAAGTCTGAGTTGCATGTAAAAAATTCTTTAACATAAAATTTCTTGCCTGATCTGGGATGAACAAAATATTCCCCCTTGATCACACTGTTACAGTGTGAGCAATTTAAGCATGGAAAAGTACCCTTCTTGGGTTCTGAAAAAAATCTGGTTTGTTTCTTAGAACTGCCAATATCTGACCTTACTATCATATCCCTCAGGTTCGAGGCCCTCTGGTATGCAAAGAGTGGGGATTGTTGGAATATCGGGGGTAATTGGATATCCCCTTGAAAAAGTTGCCAATGCTTTAATATAACCTGTCTTATATCTCTGTTAAGTGGAGTATATGGCGTCACCAACATAATCCTTTCTACTTTATCTCTGGCCCCTGTACCTGAAAGGGTTTCTTGTCGAGAAAGATTGTCTACCTTCTGTCGTTGGTTGTCGATTATATGTGTGGGATAACCTCTCTCTATGAATTTTTTGGCCATAAAATCTAAGCCTGTCATCACTTTATCCTCCTGTGATACTATCCTTTTTACCCTTAGCAATTGACTGAATGGTAACCCATTCTTTAGATGGATTGGATGAAAGCTCGAGTAAGTTAATAGATTGTTACGGTCAGTGGGTTTTATGTACAAATCTCTGTGTAGGCAATTTTGTACTCTCTGTACCTGAACATCTAAAAAAGGGACTGTAGTCGTATCACAGCACATAGTGAATTTGATATTCTCATCTTGTACATTTAATGACTCAAAGAATTCCTGTAGGTGGGCCCTGGTGCCGCTCCAACATATGAACACATCATCTATATATCTTTTCCAAACTAAGCATTTTGAAAATAAAGGATGTTGATAGATGCATGTTTCCTCCATTCGATTCATATACATGTTAGCATATGTTGGAGCGACATTCGAGCCCATAGCTGTACCCTTAATCTGTTTGTAGTACTTGTCACCAAACAAAAAGTAATTCTCCGTCAAAATGAAAGTCAGTAGTTCCCTAATGTATTTACGGGTCTCCCCTTGTTGGGTTAGTCTCGGGTCTCTATCCAGTGTCCAATCGACTGCCTCTATCCCTCTATTGTGGTCAATTGAAGTATATAGTGACTGTACATCCATGGTTACCAACCAAAAGTCACCTGGTGGAATCTGTATGTCTGCTAATAGTGTAAGAAATGTAGTCGTATCTTTAAGATATGATCTCTGTAATGGGACATATTTAATCAAAAATTTGTCCAGTATCTCTGCTGGGTGTTGGAATATCGACCCAGTCCCACTGACTATCGGTCTACCTGGTGGAAAGAGGGGGTTCTTATGTATTTTTGGGAGGGTGTAGAACACCGGAATTCTTGGGTATTTAAGGTTCATATATTTATATTCTCCATCAGAGATAATATTTTTAGAGAGGGCCCATTGGTTAAGCTTGTCTAGTGTACGTTTCAGATTGTGTGTAGGGTCTTGACTAATGAGTAGGTAATTAGTATTATCCATTAGCTGGGTCTCAATTTCTTTTGTATAATATGTACGATCCATGATCACCAATGCTCCCCCCTTGTCTGCCGGTTTGATAATAATGGATGCATCTTTCTTCAGATTATTGATATTCAACCAATCTTGTTTAGTAAAATTAATACTTTTCCTCTGATAACCATGTGTATATTGATGTTTTCTCCTGAGTTTATATATATCTTTTTTCACAAGATTGGTGAATATATCAATGGATGTATTAATATTATGTGGTGTGAAAGTGCTTTTAGGTTTCAAACCTGTATCAAGGGAAAGGACAGTGCGTGGACCAGACTCGGAAATGTAGTGTCCCACAGTCTCCATATTTCCTTCCTCATATAGATCTCCCTGTGTAATCTGTGCAGTGTTGTCAGTAGATTCTGCTGCTGTGCAAGAATTGTGCTGATCTGTTGAAAAAAATGCACGTAATTTAAGTTGGCGAAAAAATTTATACAAACTGACGTCATATTGGTGCCACTCTATATGAGGTGTGGGAATGAAGGAGAGTCCCTTATTCAGGGTCCCCTCCTCCATAGGGGTTAAGGGCCTACCTGAAATATTGTGTATTAGAGATTGCGTCTCGATTGGGGCGGTCGGCCCTGTCTTTTCTCCCGAATGCTTCTTGTTGTAACCCCCCCGCCTGGTGTTTCTTCGTGTCGTGTGCCTCTCTCTAAAAAAGTCATCCCTGAGGACGAGGAGGCAGAGGAGGAGGATGTAGCCCCTTCTGTATCTGAGCGCCATCTCTGTGTATTTGTATCTCTGTTAAATCTGTATGGACGATTATCTGCTCTAGAGTACCAGGTATAAACTTGATCCCTTTGGTAATCTAATTCGTCTCTATGAAATTTTTTCTTTTTGAATTCTTCCGTTTCTCTCTGATATTCTTTTAATTTTTCTTCTATTTGCTTTTTGAGCGTTTCTAAATCAGTTGATGCAGTGACCGCTGCTAGTTCTTGTTCCGCTGTTGCTATCTCTTTAATAAGTTTAGTTAATTCTTTCTGTAGAGATTTTTAACAGAGATACAAATACACAGAGATGGCGCTCAGATACAGAAGGGGCTACATCCTCCTCCTCTGCCTCCTCGTCCTCAGGGATGACTTTTTTAGAGAGAGGCACACGACACGAAGAAACACCAGGCGGGGGGGTTACAACAAGAAGCATTCGGGAGAAAAGACAGGGCCGACCGCCCCAATCGAGACGCAATCTCTAATACACAATATTTCAGGTAGGCCCTTAACCCCTATGGAGGAGGGGACCCTGAATAAGGGACTCTCCTTCATTCCCACACCTCATATAGAGTGGCACCAATATGACGTCAGTTTGTATAAATTTTTTCGCCAACTTAAATTACGTGCATTTTTTTCAACAGATCAGCACAATTCTTGCACAGCAGCAGAATCTACTGACAACACTGCACAGATTACACAGGGAGATCTATATGAGGAAGGAAATATGGAGACTGTGGGACACTACATTTCCGAGTCTGGTCCACGCACTGTCCTTTCCCTTGATACAGGTTTGAAACCTAAAAGCACTTTCACACCACATAATATTAATACATCCATTGATATATTCACCAATCTTGTGAAAAAAGATATATATAAACTCAGGAGAAAACATCAATATACACATGGTTATCAGAGGAAAAGTATTAATTTTACTAAACAAGATTGGTTGAATATCAATAATCTGAAGAAAGATGCATCCATTATTATCAAACCGGCAGACAAGGGGGGAGCATTGGTGATCATGGATCATACATATTATACAAAAGAAATTGAGACCCAGCTAATGGATAATACTAATTACCTACTCATTAGTCAAGACCCTACACACAATCTGAAACGTACACTAGACAAGCTTAACCAATGGGCCCTCTCTAAAAATATTATCTCTGATGGAGAATATAAATATATGAACCTTAAATACCCAAGAATTCCGGTGTTCTACACCCTCCCAAAAATACATAAGAACCCCCTCTTTCCACCAGGTAGACCGATAGTCAGTGGGACTGGGTCGATATTCCAACACCCAACAGAGATACTGGACAAATTTTTGATTAAATATGTCCCATTACAGAGATCATATCTTAAAGATACGACTACATTTCTTACACTATTAGCAGACATACAGATTCCACCAGGTGACTTTTGGTTGGTAACCATGGATGTACAGTCACTATATACTTCAATTGACCACACTAGAGGGATAGAGGCAGTCGATTGGACACTGGATAGAGACCCGAGACTAACCCAACAAGGGGAGACCCGTAAATACATTAGGGAACTACTGACTTTCATTTTGACGGAGAATTACTTTTTGTTTGGTGACAAGTACTACAAACAGATTAAGGGTACAGCTATGGGCTCGAATGTCGCTCCAACATATGCTAACATGTATATGAATCGAATGGAGGAAACATGCATCTATCAACATCCTTTATTTTCAAAATGCTTAGTTTGGAAAAGATATATAGATGATGTGTTCATATGTTGGAGCGGCACCAGGGCCCACCTACAGGAATTCTTTGAGTCATTAAATGTACAAGATGAGAATATCAAATTCACTATGTGCTGTGTCCCTTTTTTAGATGTTCAGGTACAGAGAGTACAAAATTGCCTACACAGCGATTTGTACATAAAACCCACTGACCGTAACAATCTATTAACTTACTCGAGCTTTCATCCAATCCATCTAAAGAATGGGTTACCATTCAGTCAATTGCTAAGGGTAAAAAGGATAGTATCACAGGAGGATAAAGTGATGACAGGCTTAGATTTTATGGCCAAAAAATTCATAGAGAGAGGTTATCCCACACATATAATCGACAACCAACGACAGAAGGTAGACAATCTTTCTCGACAAGAAACCCTTTCAGGTACAGGGGCCAGAGATAAAGTAGAAAGGATTACGTTGGTGACGCCATATACTCCACTTAACAGAGATATAAGACAGGTTATATTAAAGCATTGGCAACTTTTTTAAGGGGATATCCAATTACCCCCGATATTCCAACAATCCCCACTCTTTGCATACCAGAGGGCCTCGAACCTGAGGGATATGATAGTAAGGTCAGATATTGGCAGTTCTAAGAAACAAACCAGATTTTTTTCAGAACCCAAGAAGGGTACTTTTCCATGCTTAAATTGCTCACACTGTAACAGTGTGATCAAGGGGGAATATTTTGTTCATCCCAGATCAGGCAAGAAATTTTATGTTAAAGAATTTTTTACATGCAACTCAGACTTTGTTGTGTATGCTCTTAAGTGTCCCTGTGGACTCCTGTACGTGGGGGAGACCATCAGGCCAGTGAAAGAGCGGATAGGGGAGCATAAAAGGAGCATTCGGGCAGCATTACAGCACAATAAAGTGGAGGCTCCGGTACCCAGACATTTTAAAACACATGGTCATAATGTAAACCAATTAAGGTTTCAAGTCTTGGACAGAATTCCACCTCTACGTAGAGGAGGAGATAGACAGAAGCTCTTATTGCAGAGAGAAACAAAATGGATAAGTACCTTGGAGACTTTGTCACCATTAGGACTTAATGAAGACTATGACCTTAAACATTTTTTATGACAAACCTTTTCTCTTCTCCTTTTTTTCTTGTATTTATTGTCTGCTCTATGACTTTGTGCTCCCTACAGAGGCTCCCCTTGACCAGGTTTGGTCCAGTGCTCTTTCCTGCCAACATTTTGACCTCATTGGGTCCGCTACCTGCCATCAGTACAGGGTTCCCCACACATGGGACCCGGGGGCACGGTGGGGCATCACGAGACAGGTGAGTTGCATTTTTCTTGATTTTTTTCTTTTTCCTTTTTTTTCTGATTTTTTAAAATATTTTTTCCCTTTTTCCTTTTTTTCATTCTTTCGTTTTTTAACCTTTTTTTCTTCTCATTATTCTTATTAGTTTTTTGAAAAATGTTTGTTCTATTTTTTCTTTGATGGTACGACATATAGACAATTGATTTCTCCTTTTTTCTTTTTTATATATAGCTGGTTACTTTACTGGTTTATATCTACAGATATTTTTCTCTTGATCATCTGTTACAGGTGAGCTCTATAAAAACTATGCAGTAGTCAGATAGACTAATGGATAAATATCTAACAATTCTTTGTATTTCATGTCCACCAACATTTTCTGGTTTATTACTCTTTAGATTATTGTGTATTAATTGATTTTTGCTTAGCTTACTATATGTTATTACATTAATTTTTTTGAACATTATGGTATTTTTATATGTGTTATGACCACTCTTTAGGTTTCTTCTAATGTGGATATATATACTCATTATCCCTGTAGTACCTTGTACTACACACTTTCATTAAGGCTTCATTCTGTATCTATATTTCGTAAGTTTCCCCTATTTGTGTCAATATGCAATATGTTTGTGAACAATAAAGTTAAGTTGAATACGTATGACGCAGCGACGCACGCTGACGTCAGAAGGCGGAAGTAAGTCCACGGAGTGGTCGCGGCGGAATTTGCCGCCCAGTTAGGATATTTAAACTGATATGCTTATACCTTGACAGAGCGGAGAGGAACAGGGGCCATCGAAGGGACAGGAACGTCCCGAGCGCGCAGCCCATTTCAACCCGTTTCCAGGATTGCCTACTTCCATGGATCATTGAATGACCTGTCATACTGACCAGATCCTGCTAAATGATTGATTGTCTTTCCACCAAACTACAAGCAGTTTCACCCTCATCCATTATACACCATCTACAGACTACATCATCCTCCTACTGAGCATACCTTAAAGTTATCTTCTACATTGGTGAGATCTATCCATAGACTTATGAAGCATATAGTGCACTATATTTTGGACTATTAGACAACAGGACTGTATGATAATTAATTTTTTCTAATTTTTTCTAATTTTTTCTTTTTTTCTTTTTTTCACTTTTTTCTTTTTTCTTTTTTCTCTTTTCATTTTTTATTTTTTACAGTTTTTTATTATTATTTTTTTGAATTCTTTGGGATCATCTTCTACATTCATTCTTTGGATCATTAACCATTGTAAACAGATACATTACTCATGTAATTTAACATAGGGAGGATCTGCTGTGTATATATGTAAATATCTTATGTATATAGGATTGAAATGTATTCTACTATGATTGACTCTATGAACTTATGAATTAATATTATAATAAATAGCTTTTGCAATTAAATATAAGATTAGACTTTACTGGAATTGTTTTGAGTGCGGTATTCACATTTGTTTTTGATTTAGATTAGGAGGTTGTTGTGGGGTTAAACCTCGAATACCTGCACCGTGCATAATTGAGTGCCAGCACATATTGTGTTTTATTTATTTCCCTCTCACCACAAACATTGACATAAATTGGTGAAAAAATGGTGACAAGTTAAGGCACAATATACACCATATAAGATACCCTGGGGTGTCTGCTTTATCAAATGAAAGCCCTTTGTGGGGTTATTTGAACAGTCACTGCTATTACACCCTAAAATGAGACATAGGCCCATCAAATCCATCTACGAAACTATGGAAACTGAAATAGCCTTGTCTATTATATAGCATTGTAGCTTCACAGAATAGTGCCAAAGGCATACAATTGGGCTATCATTTTCCTCAGCAGATGTAGTTGAACACAATATGGGGTTTTGTGCAGAAATAGCACACACCAGCTCTACAAAATACACATTACAAAAACCTTGTTATATGTGTATATGCCAAAATAGAGAAAAAACACAATTTTACTTCAAAATCTGTTTGCATTACTTAATTGCCTGCAACGGAATTGGGGAGAAACTAAAGGAGTGATTGAAATATCCTTATATAAAAGACCCTGGGAGCATTAGCAAAGTCCCAAAACATGAGGGTGCAAGTGACCATAAAGGTACCAAGAAAGGTACAGATGGGTAAGAGTCACTAAGCTGTGGTGACCATGTTCCTGTCCCTGGATACTTTGGTGGGAGACTGTTGTGCCTTCTCTCGGCTTGTGCCAGTGGGTGGTAGTGAGAGTGGTATGCCCCAGTCTTTCAGGAGCCTACTGCCTTCTTCCAGCGTGGCAATGCATTTTTCTGCGCCGTTCCTTCTGAGCAGTAGCTTGGTCGGGTAGCTCCAGCGGTATATGATGTTGGCGTCTTGCGGGGCTCTTGCCACCGATGCCAGCACTTTCCTTATGAGTAGGGTGGCTGCCGACAGATCTGCATAGAGTTGGACTCCAGCAAAATGATCAGGAAGGGTCTGGGCTCACCGTGCGGCCTGCATAACCTTGTCTTTTGAGATATAGTAGTGAAATCTCAGCACCACGTCATGTGGTATCGTTGCTGCGAGGTGCTACAGTTTCAGCAAGCGATGGATTCTATCCAACAGCAAATCTTGAGTGGTCAACTCAGGAACCAATGCAAGAAAAAGGTCAGCAGCATTCGCCCTTAATTCGATCGGCGGCACCTCCTCTGGGGAATATCCCTAATGCGGACATTGCTGCGCCGATCTCAGTCCTCATGATCAGCCACTTTATCTGTGAGTCGATTAACTTTTGTGCAGAGCTCTGTGTCAGCATCCGCCAATATGTTGTGGGCCGCGATTAATTCTTCTGTCTTGTCTTCTAAATGGGACGTTCTATCTCCCAGAGCTTGCATGTCTGCCCTTATGTCTCTTGCCACTTTAGCCAGGTCTGACTGCTGGGAGGCTTGAAGGTCCTGCAGCATCCTGTGGATCGAAAGATCCGTCACTGGAGCCGAGGTAGGTAAGAAGACAGACGTGCAGTCACTTTTGTCCGAGTAGGTCGTAGGAGAGCGTGGTCTGGAGCAGGGCCGGACTGGCCCACCGGGATACCGGGAAATTTCCCGGTGGGCCGTCGGCACCTGGGGCCGGGGAGACACCTGGGTCTGCTGGCGGCCGCTGGGGAGGTCTTCTGGGGGCTTCTGGCGGCCGCTGGGGGACTTGTCCTGGCGGCCGCTGGGGGAGCTGCGCTGGCTCTGCTCTCCCGCCCTCGCACGCTGCTGAATGAGACCGGCACCGGAATATGACGTCATATTCCGGCGCCGGTCTCATTCAGCTGCGCGCGGGAGAGCAGAGCCAGCGCAGCTCCCCCAGCGGCCGCCAGGACAAGTCCTCCAGCGGCCGCCAGAAGCCCCCAGAATACCTCCCCAGCGGCCGCCAGCAGACCTCCCCGTGGCAGGTATTAGTAATGTGTCTGTCTGTGTCATGGTGTCTGTCTGTATGGTGTGTGTGTCTGTCTGTCTGTCTGTCTGTATGGTGTGTGTGTGTGTCTGTGTCATGGTGTCTGGCTGTATGGTGTGTGTGTCTGTTTGTCTGTCTGTGTCATGGTGTCTGTATGGTGTGTGTGTGTCTGTCTGTGTCATGGTGTCTGTCTGTATGGTGTGTGTGTGTGTGTGTGTGTCTGTCTGTCTGTGTCATGGTGTCTGTCTGTCTGTATGTATGGTGTGTCTGTCTGTCTGTGTCATGGTGTCTGTTTGTATGTATGGTGTGTGTGTGTCTGTCTGTATGTATGGTGTGTGTGTGTCTGTCTGTATGGTGTGTATGGTGTGTGTCTGTTTGTCTGTCTTTCCGTCATGGTGTGTGTGTGTCTCTGTCCGTCATGGGGAGTGTCTGTCTGTCCATCATGGGGTGTGTGTGTGTCTGTATGTCCATCATGGGGTGTGTGTGTGTGTCTATCTGTCCGTCATGGGGTGTGTGTGTGTCTCTGTCCGTCATGGGGTGTGTGTGTGTATGTGTCTCTGCCCGTCATGGGGTGTGTGTGTGTATGTGTCTCTGTCCGTCATGGGGTGTGTGTTTGTCTGTCTGTCCGTCATGGGGTGTGCGTGTGTCTGTCTGTCCGTCATGGGGTGTGTGTGTCTGTCTGTCCGTCATGGGGTGTGTGTCTGTGTCATGGTGTGTGTGTTTGTCTGTGTCATGGTCTGTCATGGTGTGTGTGTGTCTGTCATGGGGTGTGTATCTGTCATGGTATATGTGTGTTTCTGTGTCTGTCATGGTGTAAATGTGTGTTTAAAAATAGTGTTTTTGCTCACCTTTTTTTTTCCCCACGTAGTATATATATATATATATATATATATATATATATATATATTACTCAATCGTCTGTCCTGGCCTTACATATTACACGCGACAATATATGGCGCAGTGACTTATGGGGCTGGAACAATTTTTTTTTCCATGGCTGCTTTGTATCCCCAGTACGGCCCTGGTCTGGAGGCGCCATCTTGGGCCTGTGCTTTCGGCGATGTCAGTGCTGTAACTTGTAGTACTGTTTGCTGGAGCTTTGATTTGTTTGGCTGATTTCGAAGCCATGCTTCTCTGGAGCCTTCCCCAGATAGGTATGCTGTGGTTTGGGGTTAATGATGCTCGTCTACATGCTGCAGAATCCCAATGGTCCATGGAGCTAGCAGATTATGCGGCCATCTTGGTGAATCGCTAAGCCACGCTCCCCAACGTGACATTTTAAATTACTTGGACCAATATTATGATGTGACTTAATATGCCTAGAAATCAGAACAGAGACATTCTACTTAAGGACAGTATTTACATGATAGAGTATTTGAGTTGTTGGTATATTGTACCCACATTCTGCACACCGCAGCTCCGGGTTATGACATACACAACATAGGTAGATTTCTTAGGGTGCTCCAAATGCCATATAGAAAAATCATGTGAAATTCCATTTTACATCCCAAAGCAGAAAGTATATCTTACCTTAAAGTGGGTCTGTAACTTTCTTTATTTTAGTAAAAGCAAAAATGCTAGTAAGGTATTGGTTGTGCTATTGGTTGCGCTATTTTTTTCTTTTATATGAATTTTCACATCAGGAAACATGAGACAAAGAAGGGAAATGTATAGGTTCAGTGTATTCCCATTTTCAGTATTGCTGGGGAAACCCTGAATGTACAAGCCTATGTATGAGAGTATACCCAAGACTCCAGTGGATGCCAAAGTCCTAAGGACACAGAAGTGCGTTAGAGATAAGTAAGCTTTTTTACTAACCTCCTCTGCTTCATTTATTTTAGTAAATGCTGTGATAGCATTTACTGAAATGAAGGAATGGGGAACTGTCAATTATCTTTGAGTAACAGTTCCTCTTTACATTGCAGTCTATATCAAAACAAATTATTGCACGCAAACAATCAAAAGCATATATGTTGTGTCTTGGTTCTTCCCAGTGTGGTCACCAACTGCAGGGTATGTAGGAAAGAACATACAGGCATAGTTTTCTAATATGGTGTGTTAGGTTCCAGACCACTAGCGTAAAGTTAACACTACTATAAAGGGAATAACAGGCTTTTTTCACTCCCTTGTTAGTATAATAGCCCTAAAACATCTTCACACTATCATATATAATATGTGTAGCGGATGGCACTGGGCTGTCCTGCAAATGTATTGTGAATAACTGCATTCGTGTGATCTGCTGTTGTTATATGTGTTTAAAAGAATTGTATTCCTCTGATTGTTCGGTAGAATCATTCAAATAAACTAAGGGAATGAAACTACCGAACAATCAGACCTCCCCTGTGTGAAGTGTGTCCTCAATTACCCGTTGCAACATTGTTGCGAACGGGTAATTGACAAGTTAAGTAGCCGTCCTTTGTTCTCGGGGGTGGCCGCCATTCGACAAACGAACACGTGGCCATTTTAAAACTCCCGAACAGCGGTGTTTTGCCGTCGAGTGTCTGGAACTCAAATCGGACACTCGACTAGGCGAACACCGCTGAAACCTCCACAAGCCCGGTCCGTTCGGTTCCTAACTACCGAACGGCCCCTCGTTCGGTAGATAGAAAGAACCGAACGAGGGGATTCAGGCGAACCCTCCCTAGCCTCTATAGCTAGAGGCTTTCGTGCAGTTTGTTCCCTTATTCCAGGACCGACCGCAGGGCCCATTCGCATGGAACCCCATTCGGCTGTCTCAGTTAGTGCGGTCGGTCATTTTATTCCCTCCATACATTTCCCAAACCCCTGGTCTGATCTGGGTGATTTTTGGATATGTTGTTCACCCAGATCAGGGCTATTCGGGGATGTAGGATTTAAAGGGGTACCCCTACGTTTAGGGGTACATCCAGAAATGGGGGGAATTGCTAGACTGGATAAGGGGATTATGATGCAGGCTGAGGGGAGGAGATGGGTGGGAGGTTACCAGGACAGGATTGGCTACTGTACTAATGATTGTAAATCCCTCCCTTGCATGGGAGCATGCTTTAAAAGGACAGTGTGGATTAAAGCTTTCAGTTCTGCTCCTGAAACTGTGTGTTGTCCAGTTATTGGGATTGCTGTGGGATATTGCTGTTATTTTACCTGCTGGAAACCTTGCCTGTGGATTTACTATTTACTTGTTCATGAGCCTCACTTGGATTATAAGCGGAGATAACCTGGGGAATATTGCATCTCCGCTACATTGGTTGGCAGCGCTGGGATCCAGACTCACAAGGGAACAAGCATAAATGGAGTACGGATGGAGATTGATTTTGCCACACTAAAACGCTCCACGCTAAAAGGGGTATACAAGCCAGCAATAAGAAGAAAGCGGTACTCATTACTGAACTTATGGCGGAGTACCGAATGGATGGCGATTCGGTTCCCGAACAGGGGGATTCGGGAGAAACACCAGAACAGAGGGAGTTCCAGAGGCAGCTACAATTTCGGCTGTCTTTCTATGGGGAACACCCTCCAGTAGAGATTATTTCAAAAACTATGACGGAAGTCCAGGAATTTATACTGAGAAATCAAACAGCAGCCCCAGAACGAAGCTCTGCAGTAAATATGCCACAAGAAGGTAAGCCCAAGATACCATACCAGGCTTTTAAAACGTATGTGGAGGCAGAGGAAGATATAGACGCTTTCCTGCAGGATTTTGAGAGACTGTGTGCCCTGCATAGAATCAGCGCAGAGGACTGGGTACCTATTTTAGCAGGAAGGTTAACTGGGAGGGCAGCTGAGGCATATCGTACTGTACCCAATGAAGAAATAAGGAATTACAGTGAAGTTAAAGAAATTATACTGGCCAGGTATGCTATAACACCGGAAGCATACCGGCGGAGATTCAGGGATTTGAAGAAGGTGGAGAAAGACTCACACGCAGAGTGGGCATGCAGGTTACAAAGGGCAGCACTTGGGTGGGTGCAAGCGAGCAAGGCACGGTCCATGGAGGATGTAATACAAATGGTGCTGATGGAGCAATTTTATGAGGGGGTAACCAGCGATGTACAGGAGTGGGTAAGAGACAGAAACCCTACCTCCCTCACCGAAGCTGCCAGGAAGGCAGATGAGTACCTGGATGCACGCAGGCAGCAAAAACCTGCAGCTCCAAAAGCCACTTTTAAAACATTTGGGGGAACCAGCTACCCCCCGGCTCCACCGAGACCCCTGCCACCACCACCACCGCCCGCTGCACAGCCACGTTTCCGCCAGCCCACGTCTGGCCCCTGCCACCACTGCCAGAAATGGGGACATTATAAAAGGGAATGCCCCCAGCTGCGGGACCATTCCACCTGGATCCACCACCACCACCGAGAGCAGCCGCAGCCCACCACTACCAGGATATCATGGCCACCCCATATGGCTCAGCTGTTCCCATTACAACTGTAGAACAGTGGGAAGTACTGCACGAGGCGGATCCAGTCCAGGCCAATGCTGACAACCGCCAGCATCACAGGCAGACCGTATATCTGGAGGGTAAAGCGGTCCAGGGTCTACACGACTCAGGGGCTACCATCACCCTGGTAAAGAGCCACCTGGTTTCAGATCAGGCTAAACTGAGCAAGACTGTGGCCGTCAGGGTAGCCGGGGGAGCAGTATACCGGCTACCTACAGCGAGGGTACATTTGCATTGGGGAGCGGGGGCAGGACATGTGGAGGTGGGGTTGATGCCGCAGTTACCAGCGGAGGTTTTATTGGGGAACGATTTGGGGAGGCTCACATCTGCTTTTGAGCCCCAGACACCCACCACAGGAGAAGCTCACCCTGTGGTTACTCGACAACAGGCCCGCACCCAGGACTACAACACACTCCCGGAGGTTCAGGTAAGAGATCCTTCCCCTTCCCTTGACTGTGTTCCCTGGGCCCCTCCTAACGAATTTGCAGCTGAGACAGTGACTGACCCCACCTTGCAGGTGTATAGGGACAAGGTGACAGCAGACCCTCCTGGGGGAGAAGGAGAAAGGTTTATCTGGGACAAACAGCGGGTCAGACCCGATCGTGATAAGGCAGTTAGTGGTACCCCAGCGGTACCGGGCAGAGTTACTCCGGATAGCGCATGACATTCCGCTATCTGGACATTTAGGGGTCAGCAGGACCCGGCACAGGCTAACGCAAAGCTTCTTTTGGCCTGGAATTAGCCAGGAAGTGCGCAGGTATTGCAACACGTGCGATACATGCCAAAGGGTGGGGAAAAGGGGGGGCCGGCGCAAGGCCAAGTTACATCCCCTTCCCATAATCGAGGAACCCTTTAGTAGGGTAGCAGTTGACCTAATAGGACCCCTCAACAAAGCGAGCCCGTCAGGTAAAAGATTTATCCTGACAGTGGTAGACTATGCCACTAGATATCCAGAGGCGGTGGCCCTGACGAATATACAGGCTGAGACAGTAGCGGAAGCCCTTATGCAGGTATTCTCCCGGGTGGGACTTCCCAGGGAAATTGTCTCCGATCAGGGTACCCAGTTCACCGCCGAAGTCACGCAGCACCTCTGGAAGTTCTGTGACATTAAGCCTGTCATTAGTTCCCCTTACCACCCCCAGACGAATGGGCTCTGCGAACGTTTCAACGGTACATTGAAACAAATGCTCCGAACCTTCGCAGAGACCCACAAGGACTGGGAGAAGTTCCTGCCTCACCTCCTCTTTGTGTACAGGGAGGTGCCGCAGGAATCCACTGCGTTTTTCCCATTTGAATTATTGTTTGGCCGCAGGGTACGAGGGCCCTTAGATTTAATCAGAGAACATTGGGAGGGAGAACGGAGCACCGACGGTACCCCCATCATACCATATGTGTTGGCATTCCGAGACCGCCTGGAGGCCTTAACCCAGACGGTACGCGAGAATTTGCAGGCGGCTCAGACACGCCAACGCACATGGTATGATCGGGGCGCCAGGGACCGTAGCTTTCAGGTCGGGCAGAAAGTGTTGATTTTAAAACCTGTCCAACACGATAAGCTGCATGCCGCCTGGCAAGGCCCTTATAGGGTGGTAGAACAACAGTGTGACACCACTTATATAATAGGCTCGTGCGTTGGTACTGGGGGGCGACGCATGCTCCATGTGAACATGATGAAGCCCTACCAGGAGCGCTCTGAGGAAGTGACCGCCATATGTGCGCCTAACTCAGAGGAGTTTGACAGTCTGCCTCTCCCAGATCTGCTGGGAGAGGGTCAGTTATCTGGGGACTTAGGGGAAGTCACCCTGGGGGACCGGTTGAGTCCACAGGAGCGGAGCGAGGTACAACAGCTGTTGAGGGAGAAGCAGGATATCTTCTCTAATGTACCTGGTTACACTCCTCTGGCCACTCACCGAGTAGACACCCCAGGGCAACTCCCCATGCATCAGACCCCGTACCGCATCCCAGAAGCGGTACGGGATAACATGCGCAAGGAGATCGATGAGATGCTCCAGCTGGAGGTGATTGAGCCCTCTGACAGCCCCTGGGCGTCCCCGGTAGTGCTAGTACCAAAACGGGACGGCACGACCAGTTTTTGTGTAGACTACCGGAGACTGAATGAGAAGACGGTATCTGATGCCTATCCCATGCCCAGGATAGACGAACTACTGGACCGGATGGCGAGGGGGCACTATCTCACCACTATTGACTTGTGTAAGGGGTATTGGCAAATCCCCTTAGCACAAGACGACATCCCTAAGTCAGCCTTTGTCACCCCATTCGGCTTGTACCAATTTAAGGTCATGCTGTTTGGGATGAAAAACGCCCCGGCTACCTTTCAGCGGATGTTGGACCGCCTCCTGGATGGGTTCCAAGATTATACCTGTGCTTACCTCGATGATATTGCCATTTTCAGCAATACCTGGCAGGAACACTTGACCCATATAGGAGCGGTCCTAGACAGGATTAGGGCCGCTGGTTTAACGCTGAAACCAGCCAAATGCAGCATAGGAATGGCTGAAGTACAATACCTCGGCCATTGGGTAGGATGCGGCAAGCAGAAGCCAGAACCAGCCAAAGTAGAGGCGGTAGCTCAATGGCCTACCCCTAGGACTAAGACTCAGGTATTAGCGTTCCTAGGAACGGCCGGGTACTACCGGAAATTTGTCCAGAACTATAGTGCCCTGGCCAAACCCCTCATTGACTTAACCCGTAAAAACCTTCCCCGCCAAGTGACCTGGACCCCGGAGTGTGAGCAGGCATTTCAGCTGTTGAAAGATGCATTGACCAATGCCCCTGTCTTGGCAACTCCCAATCCAACTAAACGTTTTCTTGTCCACACAGACGCTTCTATGTTTGGATTGTGAGCAGTACTGAGCCAAGTCGGGGCCGATGGCGGAGAACATCCCGTGGCGTACATCAGCCGGAAGCTGTTACCTCGAGAAGTAAGCTACGCCGCCATCGAAAAGGAATGCCTGGCTGTGGTGTGGGCCCTGAAGAAACTACAGCCGTATTTGTATGGGCAAGCTTTTTCCCTGCTCACGGATCACAACCCGTTAGTATGGCTAAACCGGGTGGTTGGGGACAATGCCAGGCTGCTGCGCTGGAGTCTGGCGCTGCAGCCCTTTGACTTTAATATCCAGTACCGCCCGGGTAAACAGAATGGAAACGCTGCCGGGTTGTCAAGACAAACTGACCTAGAGAAATGATCTGTGAGCCTCCCCGGACATCCCCAAGCCGATCCGTGTTGGATCAGACTGTATATGCCGGCTTGTGGGCACGGGGGAGCAGTGTAGCAGATGGCACTGGGCTGTCCTGCAAATGTATTGTGAATAACTGCATTCGTGTGATCTGCTGTTGTTATATGTGTTTAAAAGAATTGTATTACTCTGATTGTTCGGTAGAATCATTCGAATAAACTAAGGGAATGAAACTACCGAACAATCAGACCTCCCCTGTGTGAAGTGTGTCCTCAATTACCCGTTGCAACATTGTTGCGAACGGGTAATTGACAAGTTAAGTAGCCGTCCTTTGTTCTCGGGGGTGGCCGCCATTCGACAAACGAACACGTGGCGGCGGCCATTTTAAAACTCCCGAACAGCGGTGTTTTGCCGTCGAGTGTCTGGAACTCAAATCGGACACTCGACTAGGCGAACACCGCTGAAACCTCCACAAGCCCGGTCCGTTCGGTTCCAAACTACCGAACGGCCCCTCGTTCGGTAGATAGAAAGAACCGAACGAGGGGATTCAGGCGAACCCTCCCTAGCCTCTATAGCTAGAGGCTTTCGTGCAGTTTGTTCCCTTATTCCAGGACCGACCGCAGGGCCCATTCGCATGGAACCCCATTCGGCTGTCTCAGTTAGTGCGGTCGGTCATTTTATTCCCTCCATACATTTCCCAAACCCCTGGTCTGATCTGGGTGATTTTTGGATATGTTGTTCACCCAGATCAGGGCTATCCGGAGATGTAGGATTTAAAGGGGTACCCCTACGTTTAGGGGTACATCCAGAAACGGGGGGAATTGCTAGACTGGATAAGGGGATTATGATGCAGGCTGAGGGGAGGAGATGGGTGGGAGGTTACCAGGACAGGATTGGCTACTGTACTAATGATTGTAAATCCCTCCCTTGCATGGGAGCATGCTTTAAAAGGACAGTGTGGATTAAAGCTTTCAGTTCTGCTCCTGAAACTGTGTGTCGTCCAGTTATTGGGATTGCTGTGGGATATTGCTGTTATTTTACCTTCTGGAAACCTTGCCTGTGGATTTACTATTTACTTGTTCCTGAGCCTCACTTGGATTATAAGCGGAGATAACCTGGGGAATATTGCATCTCCGCTACAATATGTATATTATGTGTAAAAAATGCTAGACCAAAAAAATATGCATAAGTAAAAATTATCATTTTCAAAAATATGTTTTGCAAACCTTGAAATGGTGGAAATTGTGAAAATTATCTTAATATAATTGCAAAACTCTGTATTAGTGAAGGGCTTTAAAGCACAGAGTTGTAAAGTGAGGTTATAATTTATGAGAAGTTAAAAAAAAAACATGTATAATAAATAAAAATAAGAATGTTTTTTCAGGTCTTATTATAAATAAACATTACAAAACAAACACAAAAATAATTATCAGAGAGAGTATGGCATGGTGGATCTCCCTTGTCCTATATCAGAGAGACTAATAGATCCTTAAACTCAATGCGAACCAATGACTGCTTTTGTTGTTCCCATTTAATGAGATGGGGGCTAAGAAAAACCTAGTTTGATGTCCTACATTACATGCCCCCTATATGGATAAAGGTAAGTCCTATCTCCATACGACAGACCATACGATTCTCAGTTGATCACTGTGTATTTTGTTAGACATGGTCTAACTGTTCTTATTCAAGATTAAATCCTGAGCTCAAACTCCCACTACTCCTGGGTGGCAGTTTGGTTTTAATGTAGGTATTTTTGCTGATGGGACCAATGGTTTTTTATTGTATTGGGCATGATGTGTATTGTAGTTATTGCTCCAGCCCAGGAGTAGTAGGACTTAATCTTGTATTTTTGTATTTGCTTTTGTATTTCACAGCCATGTTACAGTGCTGCCACCCACCCCATGTCCCCTATTAAGGGTTAATAAGTATGTAGGGGTTTAGAAAAATGCTCCTCCCTGCCTCACCGAAGATTTTTGCTTGAAGCTGAAAGATGCAAGGTGAATTGTTAGTGCCGGACTTACCTAAGAGGTTTGCCTTGACTTGGCAGGTAAGCTTACACTTAAATGGCCATTGGAGTGATACTAATAAAACTCCAGTTATTTAAATATGCATAGGGATTTGGGATAGTGCGCAAGTAACTTTTTTTCTCTGTTTCCAACCACTTATTAACCAACTGTTCTTTTTTTATTTCTAGTTTATTTGCTACAAGTCTCATTTGTTCTGTTTCTTCCATTAGATGAATTAGCTCACATTAAATGTCATCCAGTGCGCCTCTGATCTTTTATATGTTTAACAACATATATTTATCTTATTATTTTTAATTCTCTAGCACAAGTAACCCATGAGGTGTATGGTTTCACAGTAAATGCGCAGCGCAGTGTAGTATAGTATATTATATTATGCTAATAAACTGTGGGTGACGCTACCTTCATCAAATGATAGTACCGTGACCTGCTGTTGTAAATATGGCACTTGTGTGCTGCTCTCTCTGTCACATGGTGGTGAGGTACCTGCTACTATAAACAAGTCCTGTAGATGAGGTGAACCTTTGTAAACCGAGAGTTTGTGACCACCTGCTGTAAATATGGCTTGTAATAGTGAATTCCATTGACTTTGTCACATTATAATTAGTGATCTGCAGCTTTAAATATGACAGAGGTGGGGGCTGCAGCTACCTCTATCATATGATGGTAAATGACTTGACATCAAGAATATTGAAGTTAATTATGAACAATGTTTAATCTTTCACAGAAGTGAAGTGTCACGGTGAATATGGCAGCTAATTGTGGACACTGCTGTCTCATGACCGCTGTAACAATGGTAGTTATGGTTGATGGCACTGCTCCTGTTACATGATAGCAAGCTATAAACTTGGCATCTTCTCCTTAAAATCATAGAATTACATGCTCGTGGGCATGCATGGCAAAGATTTTACTAAATATTTTTTCCACAAGCAGGATTACAAAATATTAGCATTTTTTGTAGGGTTGATCCTGCCGTTCGCTGAGCAGATAATACAGAATAAACAGAGCTGGATTTCGTACATGTGTACAACTCTGATAATGTTTTGGAAATTAGTTTTGGAAAGATTTTATTTTTAAAATTTGTTTTCTAACTGCTGTACTAAACATGACTGTGGGAACTAGCAAATTGCTGCACTTTTCAGCAAATACATCTTTTAACATCATTTGGGCATTGCAACATAATTCTGAAAATGGACAATCAAAAAGAAGAGAAGAGCAAAGCAGCAAAATGCTGTGACTCAGCATGGGGAATGATGTAAAATGTACAATTATATGGAAGAAAGGGATGGGGACAGCGAAGAGAGCGGGAAGAGCAAAGGAGTGAAGAATATGGTAGGGAACAGGTAGGACATAGATAGGAGGGGAGAATGCAATGAGGGAGATCAAGAAATAAAAAAATGACACAGTGAAGAGGTAGATGGAGAATTGCTTTGTACTGATGTGATGTTGAAACAATGTATGACTTTTTGTATTGATGTGATCTAGAATCAAATCATTACTTTGTATTGATGAGACATATGTTGATCTAGCTCCATTGGATTACTTTCATATGCTGGTCTGTACTTGGTTTCCTAAACATGTGGAAATATCACATCACTTTCCATAGTGTTGAAAATGCTTTTTATTTATATCTTGCTAATTTATGTTCTTCTTGTTATTCATCTTTGTCATTCATCCCAGTGATGTACGTGGAAACCAGAGTAATCTGAATGTACCTTTCCTTTTTAGTATTTCTTTAGCGCCTTTCTC